GCAAATATCTAAAGACCTTTTTAACAACTTTCCAATGACCCAAACCTAGGTCGCTCAAGTATCTCCCTAAAGCATTAACAGCAAAAGCAATATCGGGACGAGTACAAGCTTGAGCATACATCAAACTACCAACAGCGGAAGCATATGAGATCTTTTCCATTTCAACTCTATCATTATCATTTTGAGGACATTGAGATTTAGAAATTTTGTCACCTTTTTGAACAGGTGTAGCACATGGGGAGCAAGAATGCATGTTGAACCATTTGAGGATTTTATCAATAAACCCTCTTTGAGACAATCCAAGAATGCCACGTGACCTATCACGAAAAATATGAATGCCTATAACAACAGTGGCATTACCAAGGTCTTTCATATCAAAGTGGCTATTTAACAAAAAATTTGTCTCAGTCAAAAGTTCAACACCACTACCAGCAAGAAGGATATCATCAACATATAAGACAAGAATGATGAAATGGCTCTCACTAGTCTTCAAGTAAATGCACTGATTTGAGGCATTTTCCTTGAAGCCAAAAGAAGTGCACTCTTGATCAAATTTCAAATACCATCATATTTGATCTTCTCAAGAAGAGACAAATACTAACCCTTTTGAATTTTGTCAAAATTCTTAAATTTCTCACCAACTAACCTCAAAAAATCCATAGCCTTATCATTTTCTAGAATGCTCTGTCGAATAGACTTTTCCATGGTGTATTTCATCACCATCAGACACACCCTGTTTGAGTGTTCCATTTCTCATGAGAAGTTTTCTAGACAATAGTAGACTCAGGAGTAAGAGCTAGAGACTCTTCCTCTCTCAAAGAAAGGTCCATATTAGTAATTGCTAGATATATATAAATCTAGAGATTCTTTTCGGTTCTCAAAATTTGTCCCATTCAAAGTTTTTACTGAAGTCAATTGCATAGGTAAAGAAGCCGGTATCAAAATAACAAAGAAACATATAATAAGAACAATTATTGTGCAATAAAAAAATTAAATATTTTTGAATACACAACCAAACATGCCTATAATATAAAATTTCTCATTCATTATGATCCTGCCTAAGGGTCCCGAACCATAATAAATAAAAAATATAAAATAAGAAATACAAAATACAACACATAACTTATGTCAGAAAAAAAATCTAATATCGATAAGGTACTTGACAAATAATTGACATAAGATAAAATTAAAAAAAATTGTATTATAATACCAAATTACATTAACAACAAAATACTGATAGGGCACAATTATTGTTAATGTAATATAAAATTAATTAGAGAAATAATTAAATTATTTCATTCACAAAAATTTCATATAACTGTACCCACGATAGGTGAGCTCACAATCATATAAAATTATATTATGCATGAACAACATATGAAATAAATACAAAACAAACAATATTAATACAATTAAGGGTCAATTTTTTTAAACTCAAGTATATATATATATATATATGCTAGGGAGAGTACAACATACTAACATGTCACTGAGATAACAAGAAACATATATATATAAAAAATTTCAGACCCAAATCCCAAGAGTACAATATTTAAAATTAAGATAAAATTAAGTTTAATTCTTGGAATAATTAAAATCAAATACTTATAGGTATCTAAAAGAATTACAAAAAAATATATCAACTAATCAGAAAATTAATTATTTAAAGTTTTAAAATAAAAAATAAAACTTTTCTGGCCAAAATAGGGGTCTCGTGTGCCCCCAAGTGCTTGGCCCTGTGAGTGGGTAGGCATGTGCGTTTCTGTTCATCTTCTCCTTCACTCGGAAAATAGAAACGAGTCGTTCAACCAATGACAAAAACACGACGCAAAACCACCATTATAGGTTACTACAGACTGCGATTTTTTTTTATACCAAATGATTGCCCCTTCATGGCAGTCCAAAACCCCTATCAATTTCGGGAATAATCGGTTCAAATGAAGACAATTTCAAATCTAAGAAATTGGGGTTTTGAAGATACTCGCAACGAAAAAGAGAAAAAAATTTCGTCAGATTTTTCAATCAATTCTTTCTCAAAATGTGAAAATTTATTCAAAATTCAGAGGTAAACAAAAGTCCCCAATCAATTAAAATGAATAATCATTGAGAAATGAGGAAAAACAAATCTAAATTGCTCACCGAATAGAACAAGTTCAGAAAAAAATTTGCACAAGGTTCGAAATACATGCAGAAAGAAAAGCCCTATGACAATTTGTTCAATTAAATAATATAATCTGAGTTTCCATTTTCGAACAAAGAAGAAAATAATATAAGATACAATATTATAGTATGTCCGAGTAAGGTTTATAAATAATTGCATACCTGGAGGTGAAAAGATAGAAGACAAAATGTATTTCATCATATAAACTGACTAATGGGGTGTCAGTTTTATATCCTTACCAGTAGAGACCCGGGACCTCTCAACGAGCTACTAAATAGTCCAACCCATCATGGACCATTCATCAGAAGCCCAATATGCATTACGTATAAATTAATAATAATGTGCAATATAATTGATATTAACATATAAATATAATTTATTAATTAATGTTAATCCATAATAATAATAATAAAATAGAGAATAATTATATAAATAAATATATAAATATAACACCTACATCATGTTTGACGCCATGAAGTTGTGTCGACATAATGGTGATTTTCACTCTTGGCAGAATTACGATTTTGGCACAAAACTTGCAAATATTCAACTCAAATCAACATGCATATATCATTAACACATATATACTCCTCAATTAACTCAATTTCATACCAACCAAAGTTGATAATCATATGTAACTTATATTTTATTACGTGTAACATGTTAAATGTTTATTATATATAACTAAAATTTATAATAAAATATATATAAATAAATATTATGTTTGAATATACAAATTATATTTAAAATTTGTATATATATATGTATATATATTTAAACATATAAATTATATTTTAGATTTATGATAAATAATTTATATTGTAGTATAATATTTTTTTATTTATTGATAATTTTATTTTAAAAATATTAAACCTTAATTCATAAATATTTATGATAAGTAAAATCAAATTAGATAAGAGGATAAAAATATTTCTAAATGATATTTTGTCAAAAAAAACTTTTAAAAACGTTCTAGTAAAAAACAGTATTGTATATTTAATATATAAGGGTTGATTTTTAGTGTGATAATCAAAGAAAAGTTCCTAATTTTGAATCTTGATATCATCTCTATAAAAAAAATGTAATTGTGCCTATTTTTTTTTAAAGGAATTATGTGATTTAATCTTGATCATTCATAGATTATTGTGTAGCTAAAAAAAGTTATGCTTCACATTTTTTTTTCATAAAATCATATGTTCTCATCGCAAGAGTCGCCACATATATATTTTTGTGTTAAGTAAATTATTATGAGTTAAGTATTTTATGTATTTTAAATTTATTAGATAATTAAGATAAAATAAGATTTGCAAGTTATGAGAAATCAATTTGAATTCATTTCATTCATGGATAATAAAAAAAATAGTTAAACTTAACTACACTTTTGATTATTAATTTTGTTATGATATTGCTAATTTTTTTATTTAACTTTTAAATTTGTATATTTTGTCATAAGATTTTCAATTTTTCATATATTTATGTTTGTGGCGAGATTTGTTTATGGATTCTTTTTATTTGAACTAGCACGAAATCGTTTCAATTTAGGTATTTTATAGTAGAGTGGTTAAACTTTCTTGAGAATGGAAGACATAACTAATTAATAAACGTTTGTTTCTAAATTTTCATGAATGATGATCAAACAATAACTCGCATGCATGTAAATACTTACGTGAACAGAATGAACAATACATATATTGGCAATACAAATCATTGTCTAATTCGCATAATGATCAGGTTACAAGATTAAAGTTAAACGATCTACAACTACGAAATTAGAAGAAGAAATTACACTAATCCTAGAAAAAGAAAAGAAATGTGGTCAAGAATTTGCCATACCCAGCAATTCCATGCACAGAAGCCATATGCGCAGGCGATGAGTGCTTATGAGAGTGCAAGTATGATTTTTCCGACCCTGTGCAATGAGATGGCTTCCTCTATTTATAGACATTATTAAGAGCGTTTTATTTTGTGTAAATCCATCATGGGCGCATAACCGCCGTCCACTACATCACTTTCGTGGGTTAAGATGTAACTTCCTAGTAACTGTTCATCCCACGTGTTTTTATCTCTTCGATTCGCTCTCCATTAACCGCCTTGGTATAACTACTCAACCATTTGGGAAACCTCCAGTAACCTCCTTTCCCTGTTTTTTCGAGCAATTCTTGTTCTATTCGACCAACTCTATTCGACCAAACCTCAAGTACGAACAAATAAGGCTCCTAATACGTTCCTGGTAGGTGCCGATTTGTTTATCTTTCTTTCGAGTAGCTTCAAAAGTGTAGCTTTCGAGTTATATAGATTTCGAGTAGCCCTAACAAATTCCCCCCTAGGAATTTAGTTTTGATGAACATACTGGGTGAAAGAGAACTGAATTCCTATCAAAAAAAATTTTCTCGATCCTTTTTCGAATTTTCTCATTTGATGATAATTGGTGACTTGTATCCCTTCGATGAAAACCTACTTCTGACCACCTATTTAATGCGATGACCGTTTGATGCGACATTGATTGCTCTGACGGCGCATGCTTACGTTTCCCCACAAGTTTGTCTGTGTAAAAACGTTTTGGCGGCTGTTTTTAATATTTGAATTAAAATTTGAATTAATTTATGGACCCGTTTTACCTCAGGCCCATCTACTTGTTTAAAACTCTTTTTTACCCTAAAGTGAAAATCACTTTCACCATTCTCTTCCTTCGTGCACAAGTCTTCTTGCTCATTGCGTTCTTTGCCCTCTTGCTCTACTTCTTGTTGCTTCTTGGTCTTCTTTTCCGGCCATTCTTTTGTTCTACTCTTGCTTTCACAAGTTCTTGCCTTGCCTTCAAAAGTTCTCACCTTTGATTACCATGGCTTCCTCTGCTGCATCAACTTCTGCGATCACGTCCACCCTTTCACCTATAATGGCCACTGCAACATCCACCCAAACCGCTCATCTACTAACGACCAATGCTACGGTTTGCATTGTAAAAGATGGGGATGATACCTTCATTCCTATTCCAGGCATGGAAGAGGCGAGTCTCAAGATTTTCGAGTCTCAAGATTTTCCAGTCTCAGGTACTCCTCCCTTTCTCCCTTGAAGATGGTACTATTCACGCTTTCTTAGGTCCGTTTGAGGGTCAAAATAAGAAAAAGTTTGGTAATACCTTGTTGCCTGAGGACTCTTCTACCTTCCCTTTTATTCACTCTGCTGAAATAGATTTGTTGTTGTTTGGAGACACAACTAAGATCTTTAGGGCATTTCCCCCTACCAAGGATAGGCATTTAGCATGGTTAACCTGTGTAGAGAGTTCGAAATTTGTTTGTGGTGAGATTTGTTTATGGATTCTTTTTATTTGAACTAGCACGAAATCGTTTCAATTTAGGTATTTTATAGTAGAGTGGTTAAACTTTCTTGAGAATGGAAGACAGAACTGATTAATAAACGTTTATTTCTAAATTTTCATGAATGATGATCAAACAATAACTCGCATGCATGTAAATACTTACGTGAACAGAATGAACAATACATACATTGGCAATACAAATTATTGTCTAATTCGCATAATGATTAGGTTACAAGATTAAAGTTAAACGATCTACAACTACGAAATTAGAAGAAGAAATTACACTAACCCTAGAAAAAGAAAAGAAATGTGGTCAAGAATTTGCCATACCCAGCAATTCCATGCACAGAAGTCATATGCGCAGGCGGTGAGTACTTATGAGAGTGCAAGTATGATTTTTCCGACCCTGTGCAATGAGATGGCTTCCTCTATTTATAGACATTATTAAGAGCGGTTGAGGTTGCTTCTTCTATTTATATACATAATCGAGAGCGGTTTATTTTGTGTAAATCCATCATGGGCGCATAACCGTCGTCCACTACATCACTTTCGTGGGTTAAGATGTAACTTCCTAGTAACTGTTCATCCCACGTGTTTTTATCTCTTCGATTCGTTCTCCATTAACCGCCTTGGTATAACTACTCAACCATTTGGGAAACCTCCAGTAACCTCCTTTCCCTGTTTTTTCGAGCAATTCTTGTTCTATTCGACCAACTCTATTCGACCAAACCTCAAGTACGAACAAATAAGGCTCCTAATACGTTCCTGGTAGGTGCCGATTTGTTTATCTTTCTTTCGAGTAGCTTCAAAAGTGTAGCTTTCGAGTTATATAGCTTTCGAGTAACCCTAACAATTTAGTTACTGTAGTTAATTCCTTAACGTTATTAATCAACTGTTAAATATGATATGTTGACCATTAATATGGCACATTAACTTAATGTCATATATTATGTTATATCTTTATTTATATCATAATATCAATCTTACATAAAAAAAAATTAATAAGTCATATCGGTAATTAATGTATTATGTTAGTAACTAATTAACTACATTGCTAATAAGATTAAAATATGTGAAATTTAAAAAATTAAATAATAAAATATATAGATATAAATATTAGATTAAAAAAATCGGTGAAAATATGAATAACAACGAGTTGAGATAAGTCAAAAAAGTTACTAACTAATAATACCGATGTCACGCATTCTTCTGCTCCTTTACTGTACTGTGATCATAGAAGTGTCATACAAATTTCTCATAATGATCAATGCCACCTTTTAAATTAAGATATATAAAAACCCATTTAAATAAATTGTCACTTTGTACATTATCATGCTGCATGGCACCATATGTTTTGATTCTATATCTTCAGCAACTTAAAATGGGAAATGTTATTAACTTAATTTCAACATCCATATATTATCGATTCTTATACACTTTCCTAATTTAGTTGGTGCTCTATTGTAGAATCACAACACAATTAATCAGAAAAATGTAATTCACTTTTTACTCCTTATGCTGCATGTTTTATACGTCGTTAACTTATCACTGCATCAATAATTTGAAGAAGAAAAAAAGCATATGAAATACATGTGTCGACAAACATATATAACACAAAAAATTAAATAGTATTTTTTAAAGCACGAAAAGTGATAGCCTAATTGCGAGATGGTAGTAATAATGTAATATGGTAGTTATTTTTAATTATATTCGACATCACCCTTGCTTTTATGTCTTACAATTCATTGTTTGTTCGGTAAAGATATTAAAAACAAAGATTACGTTGTTCGAGGCATGAATTTGTCCCAAACAACATAGGGCAAATCTGTTAAAGATTCAGAACTAGTCCTTTCACTGTAAGAATCAAAAGTCCTTAGAAGTGACCCAAGAATGACTCTTCAGAACGAAAATTGATTATGTAAGATTTAATTAACGGGTTTTCAAAACAATTTGTGATTGTACGAATCAATAGTCAATGCTATTAAATTAGTTTTAACGAGTGAAACAACTATTTTAACATGTTTGTATGATTAATGTTTAAAAGTGGCTTTACTTTATAATGTACAAATAAAATGAAATATTTTCAATTTTTTAAACTAGTTCTTTTAACATGATTATTTATATTATAATTGAAAAGTAAATTCGAGTTTAAGTTAGTACGTAACTTATACTTTAATTTTTTTTAAAATAATGCATGGTACTTGTTAGTATTCACATGATACACACAAACAAAAAGATAAAATGGTAAAATAATACGTAATCCCTTCAAATCTTCTCATATTATATGGTGTAAAAAATTGGGGGGGGGGGGGGTCTTAAAAAATATTATTTTCTCTTTTCTTTACTTTTCATTGCTCTTAAACGAGTTGCAAAACCCAAAATACCCATATTTCTTAATAAATCTTCAAGGCCGTCTCCTCTTTCATGGGAATCTTTTAAATAAAAAATGAGAGATTCTCTAACGCAATACATATTTAGTATAGCTTATTTTGAAGAAATATTTTTTTCAGATTGATAAAAGAATTTTTTTGAAAAAAAAGTCATTTTTACACACATATTTTATACCAAACACTACTAGAATTTCTCTTATTACATGCGACTTTTCCTGCAAATTTTTATGAAAAATTCGCAAGAAACGTTGTTCCTACAATTTTTTTTGCGAAATTTTATGTGTAGGTAATACCTTCGTAGATAATATATTTTTGCAAATTTTAAAATTTGTAGAAAATTTTCCTGCAAAATTTCTGGGAAAAAATTTTTGCAGTGCAGGAAGCTTTCCTGAAAAAAAAATTGCAGGAAAGTTTCCTGCAAAAAAAATTCGCAGGAAAATTCGCAAGAAAGTATCCTGCGAATTTTTTTGCAAGAAATTCTGCAGGAATATTTTTTACGAAAAAAATTAAAGAAATTACTATAAATTCTATTAATAATTCTTCAAATTTCAAATGATCACAATGAATTCATCCGAAGCATTTGTTTCCATGCCTCCAACATGTGATACATAATCTTTGAAATTTTAAGATTATAGATTATAAGCCTAACACTTAATCATACAAATCAACTTATAAGGTAAGTGTTGCCCCAACTTATATACTCTTTAATTGTTTTATTTTCAATCGATGTGGGATTTGAAGTTTTTTTTTAAATATTAAACTTATAAATTTAAATATTTTTTTATTTTTCATGCGGATTAAAATTTGCAGGAAAATTCATAGGAAAAGTTACCTGCAATTTTTTTTTACCATTTAGTAAACATTACTTGCGAATTTATTTTTGCAAGAAAATCTGCAAGAAACAAAATAAAATTCATACAATATTTGCTGCAAATTTTTACCATGGAAAAAAATTTCTATGATCATTAAAATTGTAGCAAAATTTGCAAGAAATATATGTAAATTATTTTTCGCAAATAAATTCGCAAAAAATTTCTGCGAATATTTTTTTACAGAAAAATGACACTTTTCTAGTAGTGAAATATATACTCGTCTATTGTTAAATCCATATAATGTAATATAGTAAGTAGATTACAGAGTTTAGTTGACTCTAGGGAGAAGAGTATATAAGGGTTTCTCTGAGAAGGGGACTTCATAAGTTCATTCTCAAAGAAACTAAGAGAGAAAGACTCTAGGTCCGTGAGCCTTTCTCTCCCAAATTTCTCTGTCTGATTCCTCTTCTCTTCTAGATTACTAATCTCTTCTGTCTTCTCTTGGCTAGGAAGCTTGCTTTTAGAGGATTGAAGTCCACGAATCGAGCTTCGGAGGAAAATTCTTTTTCTTCTCAGTTCTTGGCTATCTTGAGCCAATTTTCAGGTGATGGAAGCTAGAATGTATGTTGTTTGGTTGCATATGAGTTTAGAAATTGATAGAAAGAGTAAGAGAAGTGAAGAACTAGCTCCTCCTAAGCTCCTCCTAGGCACGGATCCTCTTCAATGGAGATGGAACTAAGATGTTGAACTCCTTGGACGAAGTTCTCCAGCTGAAAACAAGGTCAAGACCTTGAAGGAAGTATCCAAGCTCAAGCCTCAAGGGATTGCACACTTCAAAGTGTAGGAAACTAGGGTTTTCCTAAGAAACTATGAAGGCACTCTCTATAGCTCTCTCTTGGGGAATTCGGTGACTTAAGAATTGGCTGAAGCAAATTCAGATTATCATATATTCAAAAGTGTTTACAATAGGTGGGAAAAGATACACTTATAGGAAGAAATTAGGTTAACTTTGGGCGGCAATTTCAAACCAACCAAATTGGCGCCTAGTTTGAATTTCAAATTTGAATTTGAAATTCAAACTTTGGCTTCCAACGTGACTAATTCAGATGCTACCCTCATTTAGGAGTCATTTAGAAGTGATTTGGGTTGCATTTGAAGCTCACATGGCCGGAACCACTCCATGCCATCCATGTGACTCAAATTCAACTCAAATTACTTCTAAATGATGCATAAATGAAGCCTAATTTTCCTATTAATGTATTCTTCATATAACCCTAATCTAATGACCGAAATACATTGGTCTAATGAATACAATGAATAGGAAAAAATATAAGAAGAAGAATGAGCCCAATATTGGGTATCAAAAGCCCAAAGCTCAAGAAGCCCAAAATTAAGCCCAAGACACCTAAACCCTAATCTATGGTCAAAATACAAGACCAACAACAAAGTAAATTCCTATACTAAGAAAATACAATTAAACATGGTGTTCAATCAATTAAAGCCCAAGTGAGAAGCACCCTAGGCCCACCAAGCCCATTGGGCCCACTAAGCTCTGAAGCAGTCAAATCTTCAAGTAACCTCCTGGCCATTGCTCTAGTGGTTGGGCCTTTAGCCCATGCTCTTCCATCAGAAATTCAATGGATGCGTGAATTTTGAATTTGAGTTTGTTTTTGTGTTGTATGGATCCTATGCATTGTGTTTCCTTGTTTGCATGAGATTGAATTTGCTGAATTTTAGGTATTAGAGGAAATTTTTAAAGTTTTGGAGGCTGCTATTTGAATTTGCGTCAGGCACAATTCTTGACGTTAGGCATGCATTCATCAGAGGCAACCATTTCAAACTCATGCCAGGCGCGAGGCTAGTCACATCGAGCGTGAATTAAAATGGAGGTCTTTGGATGAGTTCGCACCAGGCGTGAGAAGAACCACGCTGGGCACGATATTAGATAGTGGTTGGGTGAGGAATTTTACTGAGATGGCACCGGGCACAGGATTGATGCACTGGGCGTGGAGACTTTGGATGGTCTTTGTTTGGAGCACGCCGGGCACAAGGTGGGTACGTCGGGCGTGGAGACTCTTATGAGTCTTTGTTTCAAGGATGTCGGGCGCGAGCTGAGCGTGCCGGGCATGAATGAGTTTTAGGACTCTCGGGTTGAGATTAGGCCGAGCACGCTCAGGTTGCGCTGGGCGTGAATATGTTTATTAATGATTGATTTGGAATGATGCTTAGGCATGTTTAATAGTTGAAGATTTGATCATGTATGTCTGATATATGATGTATGGTGGTGTATGATTCATATGTATGCTTAGTAATGATATGTATGAATGTTTAAATATGATATGACATGTGTATATGTTTATATGAGAATGATATTGATCATGATGGTGGATTGGCCATGTATGATGTATGATGCATTATTGCATCTGATGCCTTATGGCATGTGTCTAGCCTAGGACTTGAGGAAAGCGAAATATTTTTGACTTGGAAGAGCTCACATAGAGTCTCTTGAGAGTGGTGCTTGGATAGGTCACTGATATAAATGAGAGTGGTGCTTAGATAGATCACTGGTTTTGGGTGAGAGTGGTGCTTGGATAAGGCACTAGTGGGTGAGTCTCCTCTAAGTCCTTAGCTAGTGTTGGAGCGGAGTATGAGGTCGAGGGTTATTTCTTTAACCAAGTATTGGGAAAGGTGCGTGGTTCCTTGTAGATAGTTGGTGGGCGAACCCCACAAGTGACTTGGTAATGCATGCCAAGGTCGTGGTAAGCCTGTTGTAATGTAGTTAGTAGACTGGAACGGGGCGTTCCGGATTTGGAACGGGTCGTTCCAAACTACTAAAATAAAGATAATTTAGTAGCCCAGAACGGGTCGTTCCCAAACTGGAACGGGCCGTTCCAAGCTACTAAATAGGCCTTTGAATCTTGGACTGGAACGGGCCGTTCCAGAATGGTCCTTGTGAGTTAAATTCCCCTCCAGAACGGGCCATTCTGATTTTAAAGTTAAACACATTAAACTAGTAAACACATGATTATTTTAATTATATTTATTAATTACTATCATACAAATCATGTCTTAAATTAAATATCTCATGCATCACACGAGTACCCATACTAGTTTTATTAGAATGATAAAAAAAATTTATTAATTTTTCTTTTTGTTATCTTTTAATGATCCATCCTGATCGGCACACTTAATGGGATCACTATTACGAAAACAAACTTACTAGAATATGCAATAAAACTGACTTCTCCAATGTTGTGTGCATATGCCTTAAATTACTCCTGTTTGTGCAAGTGTGCCTACTATAAAGAAATTCATGAGCTCTAGGACATGGGAGGTCCAGTAGAAGGTCTGACATAATAATTATATTAAATTGACAATTAAACTCAATTTTGTCTCTAATATAAAAATTTCACTTTTGATGTGATGCATTTATGTGAATATGCAACAAATAGGTAGGTTTAGTGTCGCATTTGATCCCCTTGATGGGTCCAACATTGTGGACACAAACTTCACAGTAGGCACCATCTTTGGCGTGTGGCTTGGAGATAAGTTGACTAGGATCACAGGAAGAAATCAAGTTGTTGCAGCCAAGGGATTTTGGGTCCTAGAACCATGTATGTGCTTGCTCTTAAGGACTTCCCGGACACCCATGAATTTCTTCTACTTGATGAAGGTCAGGTTTATGCCGTAAAAAATCTTATTTTAAGTAATCACACATTACCATATATTTTATTTAAAATTGAACTTGCTAGACCACTTAATATGAAAATTGCTTATGTTATTCCTTTGTTTTTCATTAGTGTAAAAGTTTGTTTTTTGTTTTTCAAAAATAAAGATTCTACAAGTGATTTTGTCTCTAAATTGGAAGAGGGTGTCTTGACCATTAAATTTTAGTGGGTTATGTTATACATGATACACATAATTTTTCACAAACTCCCTTTAAAGGAGTCTTATCCAAATTTTATCACATGACTAAAATGTTTAATATATATTCATATTTCAGGAAAATGGTAGCATGCATAGAAAATTGCAGAAGGAAAACTACTCCCCCCAAAAAAATTTAGTCTGGGGGTGTTCCACCGAGGTTGGAAGGTGTTTGATACCGAGCTCTCGGAGGAAGTCCTCAAAGCTTTGTGCGATGAACTACTTGCCGTTATCGGTGATGAGGGAATGAGGGATGTCGAATCTGCATATGATGTTTTTCCAAGTGAATTTTTGGTCATTGTCGGTGGTGATCTTGGCGAGTGGGCATGCTTCGATCCACTTGGTGAAATAATCAATGGCCACTAGGAGAAATTTGAGTTGACCTTTCGCGGGGGGAAACGGTCCCAAGATGTCCATTCCCCACTGGGCAAAAGGCCACGAAGACATCATCTGGTGGAGAGCTTCGGGTGGCTACCGTTGTGTGTTGCCGAACTGTTGGCACTCTTTGCATTTCTGTACATAGGCCTGGCAATCTGACTTCAAGGTAGGCCAGTAGTAACTAGCTCGGAGCACTCTGGCCGCCATTGAGCGTGCTCCGGAATGCATGCCACAGATGCCTCAGTGGATCTCCTCGATGACATACGCGGCTTGAGGTGTAGCCAAGCACTTGAGCAAAGGGGTAGAGATTCCACGTTTGAACAGTTCGTCTCCAACAATGAAGAACTTAGCCGACTTTACCCTCATCTTCCGAGCTTCAACTTTGTCCTCGGGTAGAACTCCTGCCTTCAAATAGTTCCAAATACCTGTCGTCCACCCTTGCTCTTCGCCGTCGTCGGTGCAGACGACCTTGTCGTCCAGGCTGGGTGAATGCAGGGTCTCCTAGATGATGGTCCGGTGATGTCCAGGACGCTTTGTGCTAGCGAGCTTGGATAGGAGGTAGACTCTTGCATTTTGCTCCCGGGGTACATGGTGGATTTTGAACTTGTCGAAAGAAGAGATTCGTTGGGTGGCTAGGTGAAAATACCTCTGCAGTAGGGTGTCCTTGGTCTGGTATGCCCCACTGAGCTGTTCCACCATGAGTTTTAGTGTTGTTCGTAGTGTGACGGCCATGGCGGGTCGTTACACCTGTACCCAGCTGTGCTATACCTTACGGTGGAACCGGACTTCCAAATTGTGTAAGTGACATCATCCGAGTAAACCTGAGTGAGGATCTATATCCTGTTTAGCTGTGACCGAGCGGGCGCATTGGGCGTGAAAACGATTGGGGTGGTTTCGTAAGATTGGGATGCCACTTATACTGCTCTGCTGTTAAAAAGATCTCCTAGGTGAATGCGTGACGACGCATTAGATGATTGATATACATTTATACCAGTCATGAGTTGCTATTATTGCATGATTTTCTAGTATGATGAAGTGTGTGGTGTTGACTTCATGTTGGATGAAATGATGAATGATTTGAGATGGGAGCCCCTTTGGGACTTAATTTGGATGCATGTGTAGTATAGATTTTATTTTGTACTTGTATGATTGTTTTTTGAACTCAAACTTACCCTTCTATTTCCATGTGGTTGGATTACGATGATCATACTTTGTATGGGAGCAGGTCAGGGCTAGCTTGGAGTTGAGGTAACTACTGCAAGTTGAGAAGTTTTGTCCTAGTGTCAAAGTTACCTTCTTGGGTAACTGTTGTTTGTGCTTGACCGACACTAGGAGGTTATTATTTTGTACATAGAAACATAGTTATTATTATATTTATATCTACATGTATGTATGAGTTATCCAGTTTTAATATTTCTCTTAATTCACTAGTAGTAGTGCGATTCTACTAAGTGTAGGAACCATGGCGGATTGTTACATATAACAATATTCAATCCAATTAAAATATTTTTTAAAGTATGTAAGTTTTTTTTTTCCTTTTGGAATAGCTTAGCATACACGTTTGGTAAATAATAATATTGATGAAATAATTACTTATTTTTGCAAAATCTCTGTCTGCAAGTCGACAAAATATATAAAACGAGTTGAATTATATATCTATTTACTTTTAAAATTAATTACTTATTTTTTAAAATTTGTAAAAAAATATTTTATTGAAATAAATCGAACTAAATATATATTAAATTCATTTACATCTATTGTTACGAAAGCCACAAATATCTTTGAAAGAAACAAATGTTTATAAAGTTCTTTCTTTGTGTATTTTATGCAATTGTATTATCAAGGTTCAAATTTGATACTCTCTTTGAATCCATAAATAAAGAAAAAATACTTATTTATTTGGGACTCAAAATAAATAAATTTTAATCAAATTCATTTTATTTAATACTCTTTATTAAAAAATACTCCTAAAATAATAAGCGAGAGAGTAAAAGCACTATTTATAATAAATATAATTGAAGAAATTTGAATAAAATATAGTGTATATATTTTATATGAAATTGTGAAAATTAAATATATTTAAAAATCTTTTTTAATGTGTGATATTAGTTTTTTTTTACTTATATATAAATTTAGAAGAAATATAAATATTAGTAATTAAATTAGAATAATCATATATATGCTAATTTCTATGTACATATTATCAAGTTTTTTAAGATCATAAGCATCTTTTACAAAAGATAATCTTACTTAAATTAAATAAGATATGACAATACTTTTTAAAGTATTTATATATTTAAAATTTAATGTAAATCTATAATTAAATTGAAATATTTTTTTATCGGTTGAGAAATGTATGTGATGATATAATATTATTATAGTAGTAAATTTTTAAATTATAAAAAAAATTAAAATACATTAACAAAAACCAAATCTGTACATTGATCAACATTTAAAATCCCACAAATAATGCATGTCAATAGATGTAAAACTTTTTTTCCAACTTTATTACTCTTAAAGATGCTAAAGGTTAATAATATTTCATCTTTAAAAGGTTTTGACTTTTGTGCCTCATCGAACTTCGAAGTCCTCCCTTTTTCAGTGACAGAGTTAGTCAGGTAGGCTTCTTCTCCCACTTTTGGGTGACATGTTCGTCATTATCATTTCAACCCATCAAATCCAACATTCTCTAATCATCACTCTTTTTTTCTTTTAATTTTTTTTTTCTTCATTTGTTCCTACTTAGTACTCCAATCACCCATAAATACAAACCCATAAATTAACTAATTCGAGATAATTTCACTTTAATCACCGATCTCAAATTCGAGTTTCGATTAAGTAGCGTGTTAAATAATGAAGAATTTTATCATTAATAATGATGATATTTGAGTCAATCGTAAATTAAGAAAAATACTTGGTACTCCAACCATCATTATCTTGGTTAATTAATTGGTGATTATCTCAATCAACAGGAATCTTATTCTCCACCCAGTGTACCAATTTTTCTCCTCCACTATATCAATGCATTTAACTATTGTTATTAATGTCATATTTATGTTCTTTAGCCACTTCTTTACCAGCTTTTATTATTGCATGATATTTTTTTCCATTGCAATTTTAGGTTTATTCGTATTAATTGTTTACCCTTAGCTATTATTATCCATGCCCACTATTACTTCCGCAGCATCGTTTTGCATTTATACTCATGTTGCCTAAAGATACTTGGCAGTGGAAATTTAATTTATATTCAACCTAATAGTCCTTCTCAGAATAATTGTATAAATGAATTGGCATTCACAAATGACATACTCGTACTACGTACCAATTCTTCAGAAATCTTACCATAATTCCATCAGCATAACGGACTCTAGCAGTGTGAGAAAAAATTGTACACTAAAGGCTTTTTTTTTTTTTTTAACTCATTAGACCATAAATTAATGTTTCTCACAATATTGTAATTGTTGCTGATTTGAAAAGTTATCATAGGATGATGATCGAATACGATATTTTTTACTAAACAAATTACTCTCACAGTGTATAAATGCAAAATACTTGACCATAATCTCAACCTATTTGTATGTTATAATAATTAGTTAAAAAAGTAATTATATAATATTATAATGTGATGTTAATTATTTAATGTTTAATTAAAAAGAGTTGGGCCCATGTCCAGAAGAAATATGTTTTTCAAATTTCGACAAAGTTTAAACTTTAGACCATACTAATAATGAGTGATTGAGAACTCTTTAAAAAGATGCGTCCAAGAAAAAAATTGATTCCTGAAAAATGATCAGAAAGATCAACAATTTTCCCTCCTTTTATAACATTAAAGTTAAAAAATTTCATGCGTTTGAAAGTAGGATCATGCAATTTTTTAAGAAAGACTTTCTACTTTCAACAGAGCCCTATTTGAGTATATATTTACGCTTCAAAATTAAACTCTACTCACCCAAGAATGTACACCATAATTTTTTAATTACATTTAAGTATTCTCCTATTTGGATTAAAGTTTATAAATAAAGTTCTAATACCGATATTAAGGAATAAAATAAAATTCTGTGTATACCCAAAAAATTGTGATGCTGCGCATGCATTATTTCCATTCAAAAGATAATAATATAATTATAAGGTAAGACAAATCTGAAAAATGTTAATACAAAAAATTAAAAGGAGAATACGGGATAAGATATTCCAAAATGATCTTTTAAACCTTTTTATTAAAAAAAATTATAGAAAGAGAAGATGATATAAAATTGATGTGGTATGATTGATATATAGTTATGGCTTTTTATCAATATGGTATGGTATGATTGTATGATTGACATGGTCATTTCCCAACCATACAAATACTATTTTTTTAAGCATGTTTTGTTCTAAAATCAAAGAGAAGATAGAAGAATGGTATGATATGGATGGCATAATTTAAAGAGGTGTGACAAAAAAATGATTTTGTCACCCTTTCAAATGAAATAAATGTAGGATAAAATACTTTTTAAAGTTTTTATAGTTTTTTTTATAAAAAATTTTATAGTTTAAAATAATTTTTTAGGTTTTATAATTATCTATTTTAATCATTTTTAATTCTTATAATTTAAAATAGATCTTTTTAATTTTTATTATTTTTTGAAACATTTTTTTTGTTAACATGATAAATGTCTTCAATTTTATAAAAATAAAAAAAAATTATATTTCAATAATAAACATCACAGATGACAATATAAAAGAAATATGAAACATTAAAAAAATTTAATTTAAAATAATTTCAACAAAATAAATTTAATATAAATTATACAAAATTAAATTAATATTGTTAACACAGACAACGTTACAATATAAAAATTTAAAAGATTTATCTTAAACTATAAAAAGTAAAAAAATTAAAAAAAGTAAATATAAAGACTAAAAAAATATTTTAACCAAAATATTATATAATATATTTATATCGTTTACATATTATATATATATATATATATATATATATATGTGTGTGTGGGAAAGGGGCATGGTTATTTGACTCTTTTAACTTATTAAGCCATGCACTTTGATGTATATGATAGAAAAATATACAACATAACATTATTTATTTCATTTAAAAGAATGACAAAAATCATTTATTTGCAATGTGAAAACAAATAAATAAGGCATCATCATGCGGGAGATTATTAAAATAATATATTTAAAAACATACTAAGATAATGTTGTTTTAAAACAATATTGAATTAGGTTGTTTTTTTTTTCTTTTCTAAAACATGGTTAGAATTAGAGAAATCTAAAAACTATTTGAGTTTGACTTGAAAAGAACTAATTATTATTATCAATACTATCAATGTATTTATTTTTAATTAATTTGAGATAGAGTAATTTAAGAATGAGTGACATTTTAAAAGTTTTTTTTTATAAAATAAGAATAAAAAAGAATAATAAAAATTTGTATTGATTTCTGAGAACAGTAACTAATCCTAAAAATGATCAAATATTTTAAAGAGTTATCCATTAAAAGAATTTGACCAATAAAATATTTTAATCAACAAGAAATCAAGTGAAGTATTATATAAAGTATCATTATTGGTTGCTAAAATGCAATTTTGAGAGGTGTTACAAATCTCCCACGATGACTATTTGCAAGAACTAGCAACTCGAAATTTTGTGGTGATTACTTAGAGAAATCAATGGAAAGTTTAATGTGGCACTATTACACAATCAGATAACATATGCTCGTGACATTCCATCTTATCTACTACAGTTTAATACCTTTGTTTTGGTTCTTCTAATTTATTGTCTTTTATTTTTGCCCCTTCATTTTTCCTTTTGATTAAGCTCACACAATTCTCACCTTTTTCATTTTATACACTACAAACAAATTGTGTATCACATAGAGCAATTAATTGTGTGAATATGAGGCAAGGAGTTACGCTAGCTAGCTCACTAATAATACGACAAAAGGAAAGAACCAACATGACTCGTGAAGAACACCCAACACAAAGTAGCTGAGACATTGTTCAGTTTACCACCAAGTGCAATAAACCATTTCTATACTTAGTAATTCACCTTTTGCATTGGTTGCACATTTTATGGAATTTTTATCCAATTACAAAAGATGGATAATGATTAGATATTTATAATTTTAAAAAAAAAGTGTTTTTTACTCTGCTAAAAAGTCCCAGCAATGTTTTTATAAAAGTGATACTCATTTTTTTAATGAGTTAATCACCTGCACACTATTAGTATAAAGTTTTTTTTTATATTGACAATTATTGTTAATAATATTTTTTATCTGTTTATTTAATTAAATTAAAATAAAAAAATATTATTAACGGTTCTGATTGACTGTCAGTGTAAATTTTTTTACACTAGTGTATAAGTGATTAATTCTTTTTTTATTATAAAATTTTAATAATAGAAGATGCCCTGGCAAGTAAGGTAGGAAAAGCTACCAAGTTTAAATAAGACTCAGAAGTGTGCTGCAACATACAATCCTACCATTTACAAGAGATAATTCGGTCTTCACATTTTATAAATCTTAGACTAAATGTCAATTAAAACTTTTTTATATATAAGTATTTTAACATATAAATATATATATTTTATAAAATATAGACACGTAATTTTATTGAAGAATTATATGTTTTATTATATGAAATGTATAATATAGTTTTAACTAATTAAAAAAAATATTGAGTAAAAAAAATGACCCTCTTTTAACTAGCAGAGTGACATTGGTTATTGAGAAATTATATCTTCTGTGTGGTTTGTTATTATTAAGTGTAGTCTTTAACTCTTTATTTATCTGTTACATTAAACTGAAACTTAGAAAGCAGGTGTAGTTGTTAGATGTAATTTTTATTTTACAAAGCAGTTTTTTAAAATATCAAATGCAGTTTTTATAATTGTTAATTTTCAGTTACATTAAGTTTGAACTGTCAGTGTAGTTTATTATTAAGTGCAGTTTTTATTATTAAAACAGTTTTTTAATGTATTTTTTTTCTTGAAATATCGCAATTGAAAAAAAAAAAAAAAAGTTGAGCCACTCTCAATTAGGAGTCGTAGGTCATTTCACTCACAAACGAAGCTTATGGCGGCTTTAACAAGAGAACCACTAGAGTATAGAAAATTACTACAAAAAATTGTTTGAGTAAATTGTATGGAATCTTAAATTCTATTTTTATTGTCACTGATGCTAAAAAGAATCATATATAAGACTTTGTTTTGGTTCCATTTCACCAACTTTTTAATATTAATTAATAACAGCGTGTTAAGGTGGAGTTAAAAAAAAAATGCATGTATGGTAATATTTTTACATCACATTAATAAAAAAAAAAAAAAAAAAAAACTATAAAGGGGAGCATAGCCATTTGATCTAACGTAGATCACATTGTTTCGAATGTGTAAAAACCTGTAGTAAATGTGTTTCATTACGTGTCTGAAAAGAAAAATCGTACTTGGTGAACGTGAAAATCAAAAGCTACCACAACAATGTTCCATTCCTGTCTTTGACATCATTTCAGTTCTACACAACATAAAACCAATCACATTGTAAGTGATATCTCAATTTCAAATCGCCCTCTACATACCCACCCAACCATAAAATATACTTTGAATAATGTCTCTTTAATCTTTATATAACCTCAAACAATTTTTACACTAATGACTAATTACAAATGCAAGGATTATGTATGTAACACTATGCAATTAAGGAAAAACTGAAGAATAAAAAGGGTTCAATTGATGAATCCATACACTAATAGCTAGTTGAGCATCTATCACAGTCTTTATATTTATGGGTATCCATCATAGTCCTTGTGCTTTTTCCAGTAGAAGCATAATCTTTAATACATGGTACAAAATGTTGGCGCTATTAAATCATTTATTTTTCCTTTTCCATTTTGGGACTTATTTGTACCGGGAACTTGAAAACAAAAATAAGAATCAAAGAACGAACAATGAAAATCACTCAGAAAACAGTAGGTGCAAGCGCATAACATTATCGATATTTTAGAAGAGCTTACAAATTTAGAAGCAGAATTGGATATTAGGGAAGTTCCAAGTCCAACTAAAACCCCAAAATTGCAACCTATAAGTGGAGCCCTCATTTGTCGGTAATGTTAGGGCAAACCAATCCATTGTATTGTGTCACACACAAGTCAGCTATCTACCAAACAGCAACCAACTCCTTTCACACACCCAAGTGAAGATCATAAAATAAAAAGCATATCAATTAATACATAGAAGAATCAATTAATGTAACATCTTGTAACATATAAATTTTCTCGGAATCCAAACACTTCTTTATTAGTTTTAGTTTGGTAGAACCAAGAGTAAGGACTTTCCTTTCAGATTTTCTTTTCACCCTTTTATCATATTTATATAATATATAATAATATATATAATTTTCCAAATCTATTCTCTTTGCCTTTGCCTTTCCATTATCTCTAGATAACGTTAAAATATAGTAACAATGTGATATATAATAATATTCCGAACCAAATAAAAAAAAAAAAAAC